CCCCCCAAAAAAAAAAAAAAAAGATAAGATAAGCAGTATTTCAAGTTAAAGAGGTTTATCCACAGCTCTGTCTTCTGCAAACACACTGAAGGGATACACACAAGTGATTTTTCAGAGCACGTTTTCGGAGATTATTCGAAGAAGATTTCTACTAACAAGATGGACAGCTGGAGGAAGATGAAACATTCTTTCAGCTTCTGCATCTTTTTTGTAGTTTTATCACACCATGGTACCAAATCCTTCGAACAGGCCACAGCAGAAGGCGACATCATTATTGGAGGATTGTTTCCGATTCACGAAAGCGTTAATGTCACTGTGAATTATGATGGCAGTGAAAACCAGATATGTGACAGGTGCTGTTACTCTTTAGCAATGAGTGTCAAAGTGTGTATTAAAGTAGGGTATATTTGTATATAACATATCTGATTGTGTCATGCAGGTTTAGCATGGCTAACCTGGTCCAGTCTCTGATAATGGTGCAGGCGCTGGAGGAGATAAATCAGAAGCAAGAGTTGGGGAACCTCACCTTGGGATATCTTATACTTGACTCCTGTGGTGACGTTACTACCTCCCTGAGAAAAATCCCGTCCTTTATGAGGGGAAACTGTGAGTACTCTGAGGGGGAAAAAAGTGAAAAATATGAGAATTTTCTGGCTAGTCGGTTTGATTAATTCCTTTGTCTTAATTGTAGTTTCGTAAAAGTAATATTATGTACATGCTGAAAAGCTACACTTAGTCAAATTTACACCTAAATAAAGATTTTTGCCCACAGTTTAGGTAAATGTAAATGTAACTGTTTGTAATCCTACTGTCTTAATATAAGTTAATGTAAATGCCAGTAATTGTGTCACTGAATACATTTTTGCAGGTAACACTAGTGCACAGCAGTCTTCCCCTGTCCTTGCTGTCATTGGTGGTTACTACTCAGAGATAGCCATAGCAGTTACAAGGCTACTCAACCTGGAATATATACCTGAGGTATGACTGACTATTTGGGTCTATTATGATTATGATGATGATGATGATGATGATGATTAGTAGTAGTAGTTATCACTGAATGTAAAGTCTATTAATCAAACAGCAGCAGCTATTATTCAGAGAATGGATGAAATGACCTGATATACCTTTCCATTCTGTACTCAGCTAACAAGCTGTGATAATACAGTGCTTAATTTTTTCAAACTTGTTGTAAAACATAACCATAAATATCCTTGCACTGTAAAAGAATGAATGCAGGCAGAATATGAAAAGCATGTTTCACTTGTCCAAACAATGTTTTGTGATTATTTCCACAGATAAGTTATGGTGCAACCTCTGGCCTTCTAAGTGATAAAACCCGTTTTCCAAGCTTTATGAGGACTGTACCACAAGATAATCACCAAGCTCGTGCCATCTCCGAGATTCTTGATAATAATGGATGGACTTGGGTTGGTGTGCTGACAACCGATGGTGAATATGCTCGCTATATAACTGAGCGGCTCTGGTACTATACAAACCAAAAAGGCATCTGCTTCGCCTTCACCTCTGTTCTTCCAGATAATTTAAATGATTATTTGCTGGGAAAGAGCATTGAGTCTACAGTCAAAACCATCATAGATAATGAAAACGTCAGTGTCATTGTGTCCTTCGCGAAACCTGACCATATGATGTATATTTTTCAAAAACTTCTCAATGATCCTCAAGGAACAAGGAGAATTTGGTTGGCCAGTGATATTTGGTCACAATCACCTGAAATACTGAATACAAAAAAACATACTTTGAGTGACATAGGAACAATCATTGGGATCACTTTTAAATCTGGAAACACAACCAAGTTGAAGCGATATCTCGATGACCTTGATGAAAATCCAAGCCACCACAACAACAACCCATTCTTGTCTACATTTTTAAAGCAGCATGGGTCGACTTCATCAGAGAAGTTAAAGACTATGATATATCCATCTGCTGTGTTCAGTATAGAACTGGCGGTTAAAGCAATAGCTCAGGCTGTTGAAGACCTCTGCACTGACAGAGACTGCAAGACAAAACGCCCATCCCCATTGGAGGTAAATGCACACACACACAC